CCACAGATATTAAATGTAACTATAATATGGAATGATACAACTGGAAGAATGTATGTTTCGACAACATGTAGGAGACTACAAGAAATGCATTTCCATTCTATGCAGCATGTCAAAAACCTTTGCTAACAGCACATCAAAAGAAGAAATGGGTACAGTGAGCCAAAGAACATCTTTCCTGGTCTCAACAAATTGGCATGAAATTCTGTCGTCTGATAAATCAAACTTCAAATTATCAGCAACAGACAAAAGCAAACGTGTCATTCAATCTGCCAGTCAAGCTAATGAGCCATCGTTGTTATACTGCTCAGTGAAGTTTCCTACCAGCTTCATGGTTTGGGGATGTATGACTGCCAGTGGTATGGGCCAGTTGACATTTGTTGATGAAACACTTTCTTCAGAGCAATACATTAACATTCTACAATAGTATTTATTTCTGTCCATAGCAAAGCTATATCCAAATAGAACCTGCATTTTCCAGCAGGATGGGGCCACATGTCATACAGACAGAAAAACAAAATAGTGGCTTGAAGAAAAAAACATAGAAGTTCTTCCTTGGCCATTTAACAGCCCAGATCTTTCACCAATTGAGAATGTATGGAACATTATGAAGAGACGTCTGCAAAAAACATGTCCTCAGACAGTTGAAGGACTAAGAACTTCCAACTTAATTATCTGGAATTCCATAATGGCAGATGAATGTGAACACCTAGTCAACAGCATGCCGAAATGTATAAAAGGTGTTTTGGCTGCAAAGGTGATGCAACAAAATATTAACATGCAGTGGTCTATGTTCATTGATGGGGTGATGCAGTGTCTATGCTTTTGATGCCTATGACTCAAGTTTGACTGGCTCAATCTTGTTATATCTGCAAGATATCAAGTTGATATTTAGCAAAAATAACGATTAATTACTGTATATTTGTTCTAAATTATGTAAAACATTATGCAATGAATCAAAGCTACTTTTTTCTTTAAACCTATTTATTGGATGACATGTTAACTGCGGCATGGTCTAAGTTCAGTGATGACTACTGTATAATCGAGATGGGTTGATAATGATGATAATGATAATAATAATAATAATAATAAGCACAGAGCCCAAATTCTTAGGAGTTGAAAGTTGAAATTTGGTACAGTTATAGTATGTACGTCATGAGAATGTACACTAAGAAGGGATTTTTCGAAATTCTCCTCCTTCATTGAGGAGAGGGAGAGGATTAAGGTTTATCCTAAAAAACTCAGCTTCTACTGTACTATTTTAGATGCAATTTTTTATTTTTAACTGCATTTTAGTAAGGTATGCCATGAGAAAGCACATTAAGAAGGGATTTTTGGAAATTCAACTCTCCGAGGGAAAAGGAGGAGAGAGTTAGTTTTAGTCAGTATAAAGTGTAAATAATAAAGAAGGAAAGTGAATAGTGGCACATATAGTATACATTTTGGAAATTAATAAATATTTTAATCATTTCCACTCTTTGGGTAACCAAAAACAATAAATCCAAAATAAACAAATTCGAAATATAATGTTTCAAACAAGTTTTTTTAGATTTTAGGATTTAAAATTAATCATTTTATTCAAGTAAGGTTATGAGCAATGCCTGGCTCATCTACTAGTTATTTATATTATTAATATTAGAGAGTTGCCTATGTTTAATATTAATATTAAATACAGACAACTCTCTTCTACAGAATTAAGACAAATAGTGCTTTTAACACAATACAGATATGTGTGAACTGGTTTCTAAGAACAATTAAATTTCAGACAGACAGACACGAAAGAAAAGTTGAAAAAACCCTAAAGATGATCAAAGACAATTTTATTAAGATTTATACAGCAGAAAATTTTGAGATTCCTAGATCACATCTTCATATACAATATGATACAAAGGACCGTATTAAAATTGGTTGATGGTAAAAGCAGAGGATAGAAAAAGAATAAATGAATAAATGATGCAAGAAAAGAGATTATGAATTACACAGATTTTATAAGAGAAGCTCAAAAACATCTTAATAGAGATTTGTGATTGTCAACTCCTTAGACAGAGATAACACACAAAAAAAAAAAGTAAATTTAAATGTTTTCTAAAATTTAGTAACTAAAATTTAAATTGTTGTATATGCAGCTTATATAAATATTTTATGGTTACAGTGTTCATTTGAACATTTATCCAGGTACAAGAAATATCTTTCCAGCATTGCATGAGTATTCGCATATGTTGCATTAGTTTCACTGTGATGTTTACAGTAAAATAAATTTTCCAAACAAGAACAAGATGCAAATTAAAAATGCAATCTTCACAACTCATTTGGCAATATACAATGCCAATGTTTTTATAAAATAAACATAATACAGGTTGCTAATTAGTAGTGTAATACCACCTTATACTCACAAACACTACTTTACAGGGAAATGATACAAAATGCATGAGAAGCAAGCACATACAGTGGTCTATGTTCATTGATGGGGGTGACGCAGTGTCTATGTTTTTTACTTCATTCCACAAGCACTTTCCAACTTCATTGAGAATGAGATCTTTTGAATATGTACTGCGGTGGTTGGCAACACTGCGCCTGACCACCGTCCCCAACCCGCGTGACGTCAGAGGTCGAGGTTCATACTCTTTGGGTCGACGTGCTCAGGTTCGGACGCTCATCCCGTACTCTCCGACCTTTGTCTACAGGATCGGCGCTGTTCTAACCATCCGTACATAGATTTGTAATTATCGGTAAATAAACTAGTGAATACGACATTCGGATCCTTCTTTCAATCCTAGAATGTATAACTCGACGCCACGACGATTCCGTTCGCGGATGCGATCGGATTGAGAGATCTGACTAACTTCAACTATTTAGAGGAACCATTAACGGTCCCCTCAGTACTGTATCTGTCAGTGTCTTTATACATTATGCTAAATATTTTTAAAACAATTCCTTTCTGTTTCCTTTGCATTTGGGAGGAAAGAAAATTTACCTATTGCCTCAAAATTACCAAGATTTACATGCATCCTTTTTTGAATTTATTTAATTTACTGTAAACGTCACAGCGGAACTAATGCATCATATGCATATACTCATGCAATGATGGAAAAATTTCTCTTCCACACGGATAAATGTTAAAATGACGAACATCCTTATACATTATTTAATTTACTATTTTTCTGTGTGTCATCTCTATCCAGGAGTTTGACAACCACAAACCCCTGTAACTTGTACAGAGTTGAATCTGTATGAAGTCAAATCTTTTTAATTTAAATATAAAGAGTTATCAAGGTTGAAGGCTTTTTGAATAACTGTTAGATTAATTTCTTCATTACAATTGATTCTATTTGGCAATAAAAAATTGCTTTTCATTTTGAAAACAAAAATTTTGTTAACCTTTTAAAATTGAAATATTTTGAAAACTAAGTAATAAACAGAAAAATGTTTCTGAGAGAAGTTATTTGTTGCTTTGCATAGAATCAAATACTGCTACAAAAAATATAGCTTTAGAGAAAGATAACTGTCCTCTTCAGGATGAAGTGGACAAGTTACTCTTGAAAGGACTCACAAAATAAATAATTTTATGTAATGCCAACAGACAGTGGTGTATGTTATCTTTCTGTAATAGTATAAACTGGCATGTACAGTTATTTAAGTTTTAAATATAGGTTTCCATTTGAAAATAACAAGTTGGCCTTTGACACATCAAACACATTATCAAAATAAAAAATACATAAGCTTGTTTCCTTTCTCCTTCAAAACAAACATTACTCTAAACATTTCACTCTATACCACTTTTTCGAGATATTTTACTGTTTCAAGTTACGACTGACCCTGTATACAATTAATATATACAGCATGACCTCAATTTATGAGATATCTATTTACTAAAAATTTCTCCTAAATAAAAATCTAACAAATTGGGACAAACTTTTCCATAATTTTAGTCAAAATGTACACCTCATTTCAGCCTAATCCAGTTATTCTATTCATATTTTCAAGTAAGATTAATATGCTACAAAATATACTAATTTTACCTAGCTACCAATAATTCTAAAAAAAATGAAGTATTAATTATGTTATTTGCTGATATAAAAAATGAAAGAAGTAAGTGTAAGTATATCTGTAAGTTACTAGACATTTCTATACTTAAAGCAAGAAAACCTCAATTAGTTGACACAATAAAGAAACAGAATATATATATAAAACTGACTTTCAATTATTAAATTGTAATCACTTATAGAATTGGTAAAGTTAAGTTCATTAAACTGCACAATGAATAACAGTACCCCTAGCAAACAAAAACATAACACAAACAAAACAGAGAAAATAGGTTGGAACTTGAAAGCAATCTAATCATAGCATGTGGAGAAATTTCAATTTGGTTGCAATTATGATTACAATATTCATGTTTCCTCTCAAGATAGAAAGATAGAAATTATATCACATTCTCATATATTGAATACTTGCAAATAAGGGACAGAATATACATATATGACAGCTTGCTTAACAATATATATATAACCTATAAAGATATATTGATAATTATATTCACTGATCATTACAAAGTTTGCTATTTAAGTTAACAATGAAACAAGTTTCTCACATTATAATTTCACAAATATCAATATAAATATTACATAATGCATTAACATTTATTTTTCATGAATTACTTTAACAAAAACATTAGATATCTTTAAAAACATTATTTTCAGTGTAAAATATTTAAGATAATTAAATATACAGTAGATCCCTCATTTTTATGACCAAACAGATTCCTGAAAAACCACTGTTAAGCAAACTGTCATCAATTAAAATAATTTTCTGTAAATTTAGTGTTATAGACTGAAATTATGTTCCCAGAAATATAGTTTTAGCTATATAATACAAAACAAAAATGGCCAATAAAAAAATATAATTAACCAATGAAATGGTAACAAACCACATTATTTTTTATTATGTAAAAGTGAAAATATTACAGAATTTACTGCTTAGAGGTTAAAAATTAAATTCTAATTTACTTTATTCTGAAGTAAAGAATTTTTTTTCTTTTCTCTATATATTTCCATATAACATGATAAAGCATTTCTGATCATATCCAAGACTAGCGAGCTTCGTTCAAAATTTGGATCATCCGTTTGCAAGATTTTTAGTCCAGAGTCAATTTTTTCAAAAGCTTCTGTAAGTCTTTGCAATGTAAAGGAAGGGGCAGGATTAGGTTCTTCAAGTACTTCTTCTTCTTCGTCATCATTGTCTTCATCTGTTTCAACAGTTCCTTGTTCAGCAATTTCAATAAGTTCCTCGACGGTAGGTTCCTTTTCGTGCGAGTTCAGCAATTCATTTACATCTTTATCAGAGACTTCTAGATTCAAACGATTTGCTATCTCAACCACGGTTGTCGTTGCCTTTTCCAACGACAATTCAAAATCTTCAAAGTCTTCGACAAAATGTGGGCAGAGTTTCTTCCAGACTCCCTTCAGGTTCAATTCAGTAATTTCGTTCCAAGCATCAACAATTATTTTTATAGCATCTAAAATGTTAAATTTTCGCCAAAACTCTCGAACTGTTAGGTTTTCTTCTGTATCAACTGCCTTTAAAATTTCTTCAAATGTTCTACGTAAATAATATGCCTTAAAGGCAGTTATAACACCTTGGTACATTGGTTGAAGAACTGAAGTGGTATTTAGGGGAAAAAACATTATCTTTATGTTAGGGTGAGCATGTTGAAGGATTAAAGGATGACTTGGTGCATTATCCAAAAGTAGCAAAATTTTAAAAGGAAGATCATTATTAGTACAATACTCTTTGACCTCAGGAACAAAATGCCGATAAAACCATTCTTTAAAAATTGATCCAGTCATCCAAGCCCTAGCATTCCATTTCCAAATCACCGGTAGTGTTCTCTTATACACTCCCTTAAGTGCTCTCGGCGTCTCGGCACGATAGATCAACAAGGGCTTCAATTTACAATCGCCCGCCGCATTTGCACCCAACAGTAACGTCACCCAATCTTTTGCTGCCTTAAAGCCGGGCATCGATTTTTCTTCTTTGGCGAGAGAAGTTTGCAAAGGCATCCGTTTCCAAAAGAGTCCCGTTTCGTCTACGTTAAAAACCTGTCGCGAACAATATCCTTCTTCTAAAATGACTTTAGCCAACTTTTCTGGAAAATCTTTTACGGCTTCATCATTGGCGCCCATGGCTTTACCCCTCGTCTTCGTCTTGTGCCAACCGGCCCTCTTTCTAAAGCGGTCAAACCAGCCTTTGCTCGCACTAAAAGTCTCGCCTTCCGACGTCTCGCCACGCTGGCTCTTCAACGTATCGAAGATGGACAGCGCCTTTGCCGAAATCGCAGCCTGACTCAACGGCGTACGAATGGTCCGAGTCCGCCGATTGATCCAGGCAATTAACACTTTTTCCACTTCAGGAATTAAGCCTTCCCTCTTCCTAATCGTGGTCGCCTGCATAGGACTAGCACTCTTCACTTCGTCCAAAACTTTGCGTCTGTTCTTTAAGATGGTGCTTATCGTAGAATGAGACAATCGAAACTTATAGGCAAGATCCATCACTTTCGTTCCCGCTTCGTGAAGGCTTAAAATTTCAAGTTTCTCTTCTAACGTTATAGCCTTTCTCTTCTTTAAAGATTTCTTATTCTCGAGTTTGCCTTTTCTCTTTCCGGACATTTTTCGGGGCATAAATACGGTAAACTCTGCCAATAAATATCGAAGTGCAAGGCAAATTACAATTCAATTCAACCGTAAATCATCGATTAATCTCCTCGTCTATTTGCGATCACGGCATAGTAACTCGAGCCAATGACTACAAGACTGGATATTGGTTTGAATCTAAATCTGGAGCTTGGATTTGGATAAAAAATAAACCATGTCGATTCCATTACCAAAAAACCAATCATACCAATTACAACGTTTTATTCAGTTATGCGCAATGGCCTTAATCAGATGGTAATGTAACGTCGATGGAAACGTCTCGTTCCTGCGGTTCTGTATTTACAATAACAGAACATTTATTTCAGTCATAAAAACCGGAGGTAATAAAATAAGCGGTCGTAAAACGGGGGTCTACTGTATATATCTATAAAAATGACTTATTACTAACTTGCGACGAATCGTGTAGCATTCTAAAGGTAAAAAAATCACTTATGAAATGTTAACAAATTTAAACGATAAAAGAGCAGCAAAACACGAATTCACCAGCTGCTATCGCCATGTTACATCGGAAATGACCGAGCGCCCTCTTTCAACTTCACGGAAAGTATTGTATTAATCGTGTCAAATTTGACCCTCCGAGTTTTTTGTAAATCTCGACATTTTCAGACCACTGAACTCGAAAGTAAAAAAAAAAATAATTAAAAGAAAAGGGAAAAATTCCCGGAATATATGTGTGCTGATGTCTATTTCATTTATTTAACTCTGCGTGGAGACCACCTGCCCCATTGATTTAGAAATATTGTGCTAACAGATACCACGCTCGTTGATAATAATCACATTGCTTGCACGAAAAAATTTCATGACAAAGTTTTTATCTTGCTTATAACTAAATAAGTTTATAATTTTTATTTTAATCATTACAGTATTTTTGGCTGCAATTTTAAAAAATTGTAGACCCGTAAATTCTCACTGTCGTCTTTCTGTCTGTCCTTTCCCAATTTCGAGAACGGAGTTAGACAGACGAAATCCGAGAACATATGTGGAAAGTTCAGGGGTAGGAGGACCGATTAACTTTATATGAACTTCCTATGCAAACCGGAAGTCACGTTAATTCAATTCAAAAATTTTCCCTTGGAAGGAATTAGATAGATGATCGGCACGACTCGATTGTTAACGGAAAGCATGATGTACAGAGGCAAGACACTATTACCTATACATTACATAATACAAGACACGCCCTTGCCCTTTTAAAAGTCACTTGTGTGGGAGAGTAACAACGCTCTATTATCAACAGTGCATTTATTTAGAAAAAATTTATGAGGGTATACATTAAATAATTTTTTATCGCACATTATCACGCCCAACAACTTGGACTTGTGGATAGATAGAGCATAAATTGTCTCACCTGTGTTTAGTGATTGATTAATAAAGTCACAATATGTTTTTATACAAAACGGACTCTTACAATAGACCATTATAACTCGAATTTTACAATTTCGTCACTCTAATGACATGAAGTTTCCAATCAATCCTATTAATATGGTTTGAGTTTCACAAGCTGGATGAAGATTTCTGAATTTTTGGCCAATCTGTATTAGATTATAAGTTCCAAGTTTGTTAGTAAGCGAGACGTTAGTTAAGTTCTGGCAACGCAACACTTGGACCAACTGCCTAGGGCAAAGATGACGAACCTATGGCACGCGTGCCCAAACTGGCACTATAGAAAAATCATCTGGCACGTAACGTATCATACGATTTCGATTGATCATCTGTCTTTTTCAATCATCCTTTTTTCAATAAGCTTTTTTTTTTACATTTATTCTAATTAAAGCATATTCGTTTAATTTCTTTAAATATTTTTATTCGAAGTTTAAAACTTTAGCATGCATAAACATCTTTAAAGCTAAGTGTACTTACTATATGGCACGCGGGTTCAGAAAGGTTAAGAATTTCGGATGCTCACAATTGACGTTTTTTAAAAACTTTAGTAGTAAACATTTATTGCTCAAACCACAGATAACAACAGACTCGTATTCCATTTTCACCCCCTTATTGTGATGCAGGGCCGGTTCTAGTAGGTATGCAGTGCGTGCATGTACGAACGCAGCCAAATTCTTAGGGCGATCGATAGTGCACTTAAAAAAAAAATAAAATTCAAATATAATTTCACATTATTTTAATATAGTGGTCAATGATGAAACAGATTGATGTTTGGATAATGACTGATAATAAAACTGTGCAATTTATGAATATAAATAACGCCAAAGTGTACGTACCGGTACATTTTAGGTGTTTTGCATAAGAAAACTTAAAAGTGCGAGCAAGCCAAGCGTTTCGTTCCCTACACACTAGTAGTTCAGTCGTGGGTTCGCGCCTCGCCAGGACGGGCTGGCCACGTGGAGTTTTCCAGGTTTTCTCCACCTCTGTAACGCCTGAATAGGGGCCAGTTATCCTTAAAAGACCTCCCGGAAGGCATCCACCCCCTAGGCAGATCGCCCAAATGTTGCGTTGCTATAACTTGATAAAACAAACAAACAAAACAAAGTGAGCAACAGGTGATGGGGGATTCATTCATTAAACCAGAGAAAAATTAACCACTACGATTGTTTCTTGTTTTAAGGAAAGACAGGCAGACGACAGTGGGAATTTATAGGTCTACATTTTTTTCAAATTGCAACCCAACGAAGACACCTATTATCTACGGGGCTTCTCGATTTGAGTAAAATTAAAATACTGTATATCAAATATTTTCATGGATTTTTTACCTTCTGTCAACTACTGTATATGAAACTATCATAAAGCATACTAGAAGATCTCTCATGGGTTGGCATAGGGCAGGGATGTCCAACACGCGACCCACTTAATATTTTTATTCGCCCGCTACACCCTAATTTATTAGGTACATTTTCATTTATTTTGGCAAAGTATGTCGTAAATATTATTAAAGAGGTTGAGGCGCAAGTACAAACGTTAAACTTGTACGGCAAGCAGAAGTACAGTACATGGTTTACATTTTAAGTCCAAGTAAAAGACCGTGCTCGTTCATAACATCACGTGACTCAGTGAACGTCGCGCATTGACTCACGGGAAATTTGTTGAAAAAAATGGCGGCTACATTTAACGTCGAGGATTACCAGCAAAGGTAAATAAGCACATTAAACTATTTAAAAGTATTTATAGGATGTTTAATCACTAAATAATTATTTTTAATTAGCGTTGTGTCTCCTACCGTACGATCGGACTACCTCGTACTTTTGCCGAGGGAAGTAGTGACTTATGTAAATTCGGTTAATCTTTACCTATGTGCACCGTCATGGCCACACTTCCGGAATCTCAACAGCAAGCATCTTTTGAATTTCAATGTAGGCAGCGCTGTTAGCCAAAAAATCATGTAAATAAAATTTATTTAATTATAAATTATAGATCTACATTTTAAAAATTATATTACTACTTTATTTAATAAAATTATGATATAAAATTTATATCCGTCTAATGTGCTTTGTTCAAACGTCATAACGGTCGCGACTGTTCGCGCTCCCGACGAACACCTCCCAAAGGGGAGCCGCCTATTGTTTATCGTCACTAGTTATTGATTCACAATAGTTCTGTTCTATATTTCTTCTATATTTGTTAATATGGAGAATTCACGATAGTTCTTGTACACGCGTATCAATAAGTAGTGACATTAAACAATCGGCGGCTCCCCTCTGGGAGGTGTTCGTCGGGAGCGCGAACAGTCGCGACCGTCGCCATGACAGTGCAATACTAGCAAGGGGGATACTATAGATTACCACCTATGGAATTTAGGGACTTTGAGTATATATTTGAACTCAGGGGACTGAGACAAGTTCAATGATATCCTACTTTTGGACCGGAGACGAAAAATAAGAAAGTTATCATACTTTTTTTCGGCGATCACGCGAGTCGCGTCGTTCTCTCCGCTAAGCCTATCGCGTGTTTAATTTAACAGAGACTTATCACAATGCTACTGGCAACATTAAAATGATAGAAGATTGCATTCTGATGATAGGGTGCGTTCGTTAATAGCGGTCGCTATGCGTCTCCGCTACTACGGGAGTGCGCTGCTGTTTGTAGGCATTTAGGAACGACGGTGAAAGAAAGAAAGATGGCGGCGCCCGGCACTATCGATAGTATCGTGACGGAGGAATCTATAATTGTAACATATGAGCTTTTAAAGGCAAAAGAAGAGTCCCAATTGTAAAATTTAACCATAAAATGGATTATTTGTTGAAAGAGCATTCAAAATAGCCACGAAAAAATTAGAATGCCGGCTACCATCCGAAAAAAAGTCGAAAAGACACTTACATCACCTGCGCTTTCACAACTTCTAAATTTTCATTCATAAAACCACATAATGGACCCCCGAAACGAAACTATCTGAGCCATGGAGGACGCCATGTTGCTTTCCACCGCAAACTACTGCCACAAGCGGCCGTTTTTGCCGTTCGACGGCGCGCACTCCGACCGGAATTTAGGAACGCGTTCCGCAGGAATTTTTAAACGGGTGTCGCTCGCGCGGAGTTACGCGGAGGAATAAAAGAACGCACCCATAGAAGTGTCATTTTTATGTTACCAGTAAGTCTGTTATCTATACTATAGTATTTGAGATATTAGTTTTAACAGTTTTAAACGGATATCTATTTAAAACTTGGAAAATTAAATCGAAAAGAGTTATATTTTCGATTTACTCACATCCTCATCTGTAATTTAAAATTATCATGTTATTAATTTTTTTAATAAACCAAATACACTTTTTCTTTCTTTATATATGATATAAAATTTAAAAAATGTAATTACGAATAATATTTTTTAACAAAACAGTAGAAAACAGCTACAAAAATGCTTGAAAACGGGAAAAATACAGTACCTACAAACTTCTCGCCTAATAGCGATTCTCACGCCAGCTGTCGGCAACTTGAGACATTAACTCTACTGGATAGCATTATCGCAAGGACTCTAGTCCGTTTGTTCATAGATATCTATCAGTTTTAATTTTTAGATAATTATTAATTATTAACATAAATTAATATTTTAAAATTAATTATAAGTAAAAATATTTATAAAGTTAAAAATGTTTATAACAAATTTAATTTTTCTCCAACTATTTTCATTTTATTTTATTTTTTTATTTTGACAGAAACATTCAGCGCCATCTACAAGTTTAAAAACAAAAGTAAAAATGGCTGACACGCTCGCTAACATTTCGAGTGTGGAGATCTTGCAATCAATGAAGGTAAACACTAATTAAAATTGCAATAATAACGTGAATTATGTAATAATTATGAAGTATATACTCAAAAGTTTTGATTAGATTCAAGAAAATTTTAAAAATTTACCAATTTTTACCGGCTTTTATCTCGTGATTAGGCCTATGTTACAGTAGACAAATAGCATTGTGTCCATTACACTAATTGATGATTTAAACATTAAATTACGTTATTATAATTAAAATTTATATTATTTACGTGCTAAACGACGTTTAATTGTCTATTTTCAGGCATAAATTGTTATAACATTGGTTAAATTACCTTAAATTAAACATTT